AGTTATCTTGGCAAGGTCAGACTAAATGGTTCTGTAGCTTTTTACAGCCCACAGTCCAACCGTCCAACTGTTCTCTCTGGTACAGTGCAGCAGGAGGAAAGGCCTGGCCTTGCTGTCCGGGCAGCTCTTGCTAGCCAGTGATTCCTGCTTAAAGGTCCCAGATAGGTTTTTGAACTGAATAGTTAATGATTTGTATTAAGGCAAGTATACAATGCTATCTCTTTTTATGTTCTCTCTCTCTCTCTCTCTCTCTCTCTCTAAAGTAATCAAGATGGCTTTTGGGGTGGGAAGGATGAGATTTTAAACATGTAGCTCAATAAGTGGAACAGATAGGAGAACAGACCCTTTCAACTTATCAGAGTAAAATTATGTCAGAGTAGCTTCAGACTAATAAGCAGTTTACTGAGCACTGTGAGAACAAGTTTTCAAGATTTTGGAAAGAGACTTGAGCTGTCCAGTTTTCAGAGAGCGGAGGGCCTTGGCTTGGAAGCTAGCTCTGAGAAGCCAGGCAGAAGAGGGGCTTGGAGGCAGAGCAGAATGTAAATAAACTGATAATTGTGTGAGATCTGGTAGAGGATATGCACAGCTACATAGGTCTTGGAAGACAGAAAGACAGAAACCCAGTGTGGGTAAGCTATCGCTGGAATCTCTAGGTGAAGTGCCTGAGAATGACTTTGTGGGTTCCACGGCTCTGCACATCCTACTTTTTCTTTGTGCTAGCAAATTTCATTGTCTGCTATTTCGTAAAACTATTTAAAAGCTTTTGTGTTCCATTCCTGTGTTCTCCTTGGAACGGACTGAGGAGGATTTGGCTGATATCCTAAGCATGGCTGAGCTTTTGAGTACCGTTTTTATGAATGTCAGCCTTAACAGCGCTGGGCTTTCAGTCTGGTTGATGAGTAGAAGCAGTGTCCTTCCTGTCTAATCAAGTTCTTCTCCAAGTATAGACATCAGACCCTGTCAAGGTCTAGAAGTCTTTCTGTGCTTGGAATAGAAATTCTCTCTGCCCCTTGCTTTCCATTCTCAGGAGTTTTTTGTTTTGTTTTGTTTGTTTGTTTTTAATAACAACAACAAAATTCTCCTTCATCCCCTTCTGTTATGAATGGGCCTCTGTTGTCTTTCTGTGGCCCTTGTCCCACTGTGCCTTTGCCACACCTCTGGTCTCATGTTGACAGCCTGGCAGTGTCCTGCTCCTCTCCAGCCCTGAAATTGCTTCTCCCAACACTGATCCTCTTAACTCATGGTTTTGGTCTCAAAGATGATTACTGGTGCTCAGATTCTTAGGCCCAATAAAGCCAATATGTGCAGAGCTGATGAAAGTAATGTAGTTGCTAATTTGACATTAGATAACTTTAACTATATATAAGTTTCTTTTTGAAGTTTTTTTTTTTCTATTTATTTGAAAAGACGAGTTATATATTGAGAACACACACGCAGATGTCACTTTTGCTGGTTTTTACCCCAAATGGCCTCAACCACCAAGGGTGGGCCAAGCTGTTGCTAGGAACCTAGAGCTTTACACAGGTCTCCCACATGGATGCAGGGATCCAAACACTTAGGTTATCTGCTGCTGCTTGCCAAGGACCGTTAGCAGAGAAATCTGAAGTGGAATAGCTGGGACTAGAACCAATGCCTTTATGAGATGTCAGTGTTACAGGTGGGAGGCCTAACTTGCTAACTCACAACACTGGCCACTATGCCAGTGTTTTATTTATTTTGGAAATTTTTACCTCTAGCTGGTCTAACATAAATCATCCACATTGGCCTTAAGCAGTGTAACATCCGTGCTGTCTTTCCTGAGAAATCCGCTCACTCTTTTGTTGGTGCATCCAATGTAACCAGTCTGTGTGTTTGAGGCCCTGTTATAGTTTGGAATTTTTTCAGGGTCTTAAGAAGATTTGGAAGCCATTTGAAGTCTTTTTATAAATCTCCAAGCCTGTGTTTCCTAGGTAACATTTTATATTAAAGTATATATGGCCATACCAATCATTGACTAATTTTAGACTTTAACATGAATTGGTTAAAATCTGTATTTTTTTTTCTAATAAAAGAAATGTTAAAGTGAAGTGTGATTACCCACATTCTACATTCTGACTTGAGTTTCTTACTAAAATGTTTGAAAATTAAACTAAAGCATTTGGAAGATCTTGGTCATAAGGCGCTGCTTATTTAAGTCTTCTGCGATTTGTAAAACCCAAGACTACCGTAAAATTATAAGGCAAGTAAATGTAATTAAAATATCAGTTTCTGTTTCACACTAGGATGGATTATTTTGGGTAGTTTTTCATGGGACACTGGAGGGCGCTATTATGAAATTCCCAGTGCAAACAAAGGAATATGGTGAATCTGACACAACTGTTAGTGAAGTTTTGAATAAAGTGCTACATACCATAGAGGCACTGTGTCTATCTTGTAATGCTGCTGGTTATTGGAATTAGCTCCCTGCAACTATCCTTGGTAGTTCCAATGGAGTTGACCAGACTGGTCGTAGAGAAGACCATGGGAATGGAGGCTGAGGCTGTCAGCTCATAGAGAGATGAGCCTAAATTGAATTCAAGAGTGAAATACTTGGTCTGGCACCATAGCCTAGTGGTTAAAAGTCCTTGCTTTGCCCGTGGTGAGATCCCATATGGGCGCCGGTTTGTGTCCTGGTTGCTGCACTTCCAATCCAGCTCCCTGCTTGTGGCCTGGGAAAGCAGTTGAGGATGGTCCAAGGACTTGGGACCCTGCACCCACATGGGGGACGGGAAGGAAGCTCCTGGCTCCTGGTTTTGGATCAGCTCCGTACTGGCTGTTGGGGCCACTAGGGGAGTGAACCAGTGGACTGAAGATTTTTCTCTGTCCTTCTCCGTGAATCTGCTTTTTCAATAAAAAATAAATAAATCTTTGTTTTAAAAAGTAGAGTTGGGCCCGGCGCGGTGGCGCAAGTGGTTAAAGGTCCTCGCCTTGCACGCCCGGGATCCCATATGGGTGGCGGTTCTAATCCCGGCAGCCCCGCTTCCCATCCAGCTCCCTGCCTGTGGCCTGGGAAAGCAGTCGAGGACGGCCCAAACCTTTGGGAACCTGCACCCACGTGGGAGACCCGGAAGAGGCTCCTGGCTTCGGATCGGCATAGTATCGGCCCATTGCGCTCACTTGGGGAGTGAATCATCGGATGGAAGATCTTCCTCTCTGTCTCTCCTCTCTGTACATCCGCCTTTCCAATAACAAAATAATAAAAATAAATCTTTAAAAATAAAAAATAGAGTAAAATATTGCAAAATCCCAGTAAAACTCTGGATGTCAGAGCTGAAGTGAACCTGTTTCTTACTGGGTGCAGCTGTGCAATGTTTGAAGGCGAAACATTTCACTTCCCCACATAACTACAGTGCGCTAGTACCCACACTCAGGGTGTTGGTGCCGCCTTACACCAAGGAGGAGGTGGGGACGCAGGGTTGTAAAAGGTTAAAGAGTTAAGTAAACCTGAATTTTGTCATGTCTACATGTTTAGTGGAAATGGAACTTTCTGCTGTAGATTAGTTCTATAAGGTATCTTTGAGTTTTGGCAAGTCAATAAAATAGTTTCCTCTTGCTAACATCTGCCTTCCTGTGCACTGTACTGTACTTAAGTATCAGCTATGCCTTGCAAGCCTGGACTGGCACCCAAACAATTTTAAATTTTCTACAGTGCTTTTATTGTGTGTATTCTCCATCTTCTGATTGATGAACTGATTTTTTTTCTCATTGTGGTAAAATATTTGGTTTACTGTTTTAACTATTTTAAGCGTTTAGTTCAGTGCCATTAAGCACATTCAAACTGTTCTGATGAAGAGCTACTGCATATGGCAGGAAACAAAAACAGTAGGCAAAGAATTCAAATAGAAAGAACTGAATTGGAAGCTGTGTTAGAGTCCCGGGTTTGGAGATATTTCAGTTTTATACCTCTCTGGACACTATAAAAAGGGCAATTAAGGAAATGCAGTGATGCCACTTATGTTTGTGTGTTATGCATAGCTGTATTTTACAGTTCACATATGCATACGATTTTATAAGGAAAAATTTTCCATAATATTCAGGTTCAGTAGTCATGCATCAGTGTTCTCATACAACCCCATGGGTCCATTTAATATATTTATTTCTATCTTGGCTCTAGCACCAGTATGGGCCTGCCAGAGGAGCTTGAGGCCAGCAAGCTGCCCAGTACCTGCAGCTCACGCCAGGGGCTTGGTTCTTTACATGTTACCACAGCATTCCGTCTATAACGGTGATGAATAACTTCCTAAACTAGCTGTAAAATTGTAGTTTTATTTAAAAAAAAATGATTTTCAGTTAGAAAGTAGAAGTATACACAGCTTTACTGAGGGGACAGAACTAAGAGGAGTACTAAGAGCAGATTTAATAGGGGCTTAGATTGTTGGCGTGTGTGAGTTCATCTTTCCTTGATCAAGAATAAGAAAGCTGGACCAGTGAAATCACTATGTCCGTTTCTTTGGCCCCAGTGCAAAATCTCATGAAAAACAAAAATACTCCTTAATGGTACAGTACACAGTGGTGATGGTTCCCTTTGGATTATATACATAAGATATCAATAAGATATCTCTGAGTGAAGTGTTTATTAATATTCCATGTCTAAAAAATGCTCATGTGTAAGTTGTATTAAAATATGAAAATAAGTTTCTGAAATGGATTAATGTAGACTGAACAATCTCATCAAATTGTAGGCCTATATAATATCTTCATCAGTTCTGTACCTATTAGACAACAAGTTACTAACATTTGACTTTTGTGATATGTTAATAAAACATGCTTTATGTAATACTATTCATATGTATATGATAGATTTCTATATTTAGTTTTAACTTACTATGTAAGATATTTCATTAGTAACATGTTAAAAATTCTGCAGTGGTACTCAAATATTGTATCATGAAACTCTGCTTTGTATTAAACTGCAATTATAATGCTTTAAAATTTGTGTGACGCTTATCTTTTTTTCTGTTTTATTTTACTGAATTCATTAGCTGAGAAACCTTTCCAGCTTGGACCTACGTCATATCACTGAACTGGATAATGAAACTGTGATGGAAATTGTCAAGAGGTGCAAAAATCTTAGCTCTCTCAATCTCTGCCTGAACTGGATCATAAATGACAGGTAACCATTGTGACGTCTTAAAACACGTTTCCAGACAGGAACATGTCGCAAGTGCTAATTACCATTGTAGCACACTATCTCAACCTTGAGTAAAATTGAATGCAGCTGTGCCTTTTTAAATTGATTTAAAAATTTTGACAGCCATCCAAATCTTGTCTATTTTTAATGCATCAGTTGGTTGTGAGTGCATCAAGCTTTTCATGTTCTTTAATGCAAATATTTGCCTAAACAATTATAACTAGAGTTGTCTGTTGAATTTTATCTCATTGACTACCCAGGATGTATTACTTGTCATATTGACAATCTTGCAACTTCTTTGGTTGATGTTGTTGTGCATTTGCGAAGGAAAATGATTCTGAGAAACTGTCCCAAGCATTCTATTTTTAGGGCCTTTAGGCAGATGACATTTTATTCTCTGTATAAATAGAATTTGTTTAGAAAATGGAAATCATGTGGTGAACAGTTTAATATATTGTATAAACTTTTTAAAAGGAGAAATCTTAGAAATAATGGTAAGTCTGTTTTTTTTTCTTTGCAATATTGCATGAAGGAAAAAAAGAAGATAAAGGAAATCCCTTGAAAGTTTATTTTTATAATGGAAAAAACTATCTAGTAGCTCTAGTGTTAACTAATAAGTTCAGATAGTCCTGTAAATCTAGAGATGAGCCAGGACTCTTGCACAGTAACTTCAAAAACATTTTTTTTTTAAAAAGATGAGTCACCAATAATATTTCGCTTTAAAACAGAAAGCACTACTTCAGCTAAAATTAGATCCCGCTAGGGTTGAAATCTTTTCAAGCAATTTATTGATTTTGTGTCAGATCATGTTTTAAGGCGTCCTTCCCTTACTTTTTCTTTTTCCACTGTAAATATAAAATCACGTAGACTTGATTTTCTCCAACTATGTTAAGTTCTAGTGATATTTTGTTAAATTATGTTCATTTACATTTCTTAACTTTTCCTAAAACAATTTACTAATGTGGACTGGGGCACATTATCATCATTTGAAATAATGTTTGCAATATAAAATGTTCAAAGTATGAAGAATTTTGATGTCATTTTCGGAAGTAAAATTCTCTAATCAATATTATTCTATACAGGCAAGTATATTACATTTTAGTTAATCTTTGGAAAGTTTTCCATAAAAAAAATAATGCATATAAATAAGTCAGCTTTATCCCGTGGAACTTAAGTGTCTAGTCACCTTTATCCTGTGGATTTTAAGTGTCTAGAAGTAGCTTAATGTTGAGAAAATTTTTTAGTAATCCGTTGAAGCAAGTGGAGAAAATTTTGTTCTACAAAATGCTCGTATTTCACACTGGCTTTTTCTGCATCCCTGACCTGTATGGGAAAGTCAGTCATTGGAGAGTCTGCAGATAGGGGGATTATCAGCTCATGGTCTAAGTAAACTTGCTTTGGCTTCTGAGCTGTTTCGTTCACACTTGGTCTTCAAATGCGTGTTTAGACAACGGGGTGATTTACCAAAGTAAAAGCAGGCAGACTCACTGTGCTTTCCTTCCGTTGGTGGAGCTCCATGTACAGAAACCTTGTGCTGTTCATGTTTTTGTTCTTAACTCTACTGATTACTCAGTGTTTGATTATAAATATCTATATATATATGCTGTAGAGATTTATTTGTGAGGAATGAAAGTGTATTTTGATGTTTTTAAATGGAAAAGTTTGGATTAATTGAGGAAACGTGCGTTTTAATGAAGTTGAATAGAATTTCAAAGATCAGACTCTTAGGTTTTAATTACACTACTTGCACTTATCCTGTGTACTGTAATAGAACTTTGAAACATTAAAACCCACTTTGCAGTATCATCTAAATTACTCATCTCATTGTTCTTGCCATATTGTATTACTAAGCTAAGTAATATTTGTAATTATATTGGTATAAATCTAGGACTTCCCATCAGATTTAATTATAATTTCTGCACTTAGCTGAGATGGGTTAGTAACCTTTCATATATAGGGCACTGGAATGCACTAATGCATTTAGCCTATCAATTAGCTTCTATTTTACATTTGTTCATTATGATTATCCCTCAGTAAATCAGGAAGCATTTATTAGCCTCCTATTAATACTTGGTATTGTATCCCAGACTGTGGAACACTGAGTCTGAGCTACTCTCAAAGGTCTCTGCCTTTAGGTGACATAAGACTTAGTGATAAAATGAGCCTTGCAAGAATGGAAGGAATGAAAATAACCTATATTACCTAGATAATTGATAGGTACTTTACAAGTGTTCAATTTAATCCCTTTACCATCTTTTGTTCAGGGGAAAGTCATGATATTCCTGTTAAGTCTACATGATTTGTTTGACTTTTTTTTTTTTTTTTGCTTTTTGGTAGATATATGTTGCATTCATTGCTGCAATAAAATGTGGGTGAGGAAAAACAAGAGACAAAGAATGATGTGTCAGTTACCCCATGCATAATTGAATTCACACGCAATTGGCATCTATATGTAAATTTTTATCTTATTTTTTTAGTAAGCTCATTATTTCTTCATATTAAGTATATAATAGAGCCTTTAGGTATTATTTTATATGAAATTTCTATTAAAAGCATCTATTTTTAGTGTTCCTCACATTAAGGTGAGCTTTGATAGTTTTTAGATAGAGTTTATTCTAAGGTTGATCATTTTCTGTGAAAAAAAAAATGTTTCTTGAAAATTTTCTTTGAAGTTCAAAATTTTAAAAACAGGCAGTAATTGGTAGGCTTTACTGTCAAGCTCATGGTTATCTGTCAGCGTTTAATGGTCCTTGAACTGATTTGTGTGACTAAGACATGCTATGGTGTTCTTTATCTTTGTTTTTTCTAAAAGCACTTTTTGTGTTTAGAGAGTTAAACAGTGTGATATTTTCTTGTATTCAGAAAGGTGGTCCAGTAGTCATTTGACATTTACCATTGCTTTTGAGTACAAATTAAAATCTAAGTATTTTTATGAAAAGAGGACACTATTTCTATCAATGAGTTAAACATCTGTTATGTCTGCAGCTGTCTCACTCTAAGTTTATTAAAATGTGTGTATTTGTATTGCAGGTAAGTCTGGCTATTCACATCCAATTTGGTCTTACAGCGTTTCTGTATGCTTAATACAGTACTAAAAGTAGCGTATTTTGGCTGTAGAAATCAGATAGGTGAAATACCGACCTCTGAGCACCTTCAGAGCAGCAATACTTATAATGGCTCTTTTGGTCTTTTTCACCAATGAGGATTAGAATAAGTGTAATTGATTTTAATAGATCTTTACAAAAGCTGCTTTCAATGTTTAAGCTGACAAAGAGGTCATAAATCTCCTAGTTTTCACTCTTCCACCTTGTTCCTAAAAGGTTAGATCAGTCCTGTGATCTCTACGTCCATTATCAAATAGGATCCTTTCCCTGACTGTAGACCGTGCTTGCTCGTGGATTAGGAGCACTGTATAGGATCACAACTCGGGAGAAATCACAGAGTTGATAGCCTCCATTAGCGAGAGTCACCAAGTGTAACACAAGCGAGGGTTATTGTTAAAAGTAAATTATATTGTCGTAGTTTGCTGTGTCAATCTTAAATCTATATAAAGGAAGCTATTGCATCTGTGCATACCCTAAATCTTGCAGAATTTAAATCTTACAATGTTTTGGCAAATTTCTTTCAAGCACATAATACAGTTCATAATATGCAGGTGTTTCATATGTATGGAGGTTCAGAATAATAACTATAGGTTTCTTTCTCCTTAAATGAAACTTTTAAATAAGACTATTTGACATTGCAAAATAATGGGTTACAACTGAGTCCAGTTTTCAGCAATGTTTTGTTTAGTGTTTGCAGTATTTGAATTGTTTGAAATAGTTTTAAACAGCTTAAAAATTGGAATGATTCACATGAAAATACTAAATGTGGGCCTTTTCTTAGCAAAGTTGGCTTCTGGCAACTCTAGGCCTGGCCACATTTTCTCCCATCAGCACTCTCTGGGATGAGATGTGAGCTGTTCTCTGGGGTTGTTGTCCTCATTCAACCCAACCCTCACCGCTCAGTGCCCATTTTGTGTATAATCCTCTTGCTCCCATCCACTAAAATCTTTGTTGAAATTTAGACTGTAAAGATCTTTACATATTTTGTATTTTAAATCACACTATTCCTTTCAAATCAAGTGTGATAAAATACATTGACAGCTAACAAGGAGTTTATTGGTATCTTTCCCTTGTTAGTCCAGTTATTTCAGGTGCCAGAACATTGGCTAACAGGCAGAAATTGCAGAGAGAGACAATTTGACCTACAATAAGTAAAAGTCCTTCTTTTTCATGGAATGCAATTCAGAAGTAGAGAATTCACTTGCACTTACTGTTCAAACACAAGTGCTATGAATGAGTCTCTTGAGTTATGAAGAAGTTGGAACTAGTTTACCAAATTCCTATCCGACTTCAGACCTATAAATTCAAACTTGTTTATTTTATTGAATATATTGGCAGTGCTTAGTATTTAATTCTTGATTTCTTTGTTTTTAACATTAAGAAAAATCTTAAATACTATGTCTCTTTTTTTTTCTCTCTATAAAGTGCTTTTTAGTTTTCTTTCCCATCTACTCAAGTTAAAGTCATAGAGTGTCACATTCTTTCACCACCCTTTCACTGACACTGACGGCACCTTGGATCAAGTCAAAGTCAATGAGGCTTTATAGCAAGATTTCTCTAACTCCCTTGATCGTCTCTGGATGTTTATTCTGTTTCTTCTCTCAAATTTCCGTTGATTCAATAAAAAACGGTGATATTTAGAAATAAAGTTCAGAGAGGATTTGGGCAGGTGTTGGTGATATAAAATATTTGCTGAGTGCCCATTGTGTTTTATTTCCAAGAATTGTTCTGAGAACATATGCTATATATTGTAGTTACAAGTGTTCCCAGACTGAATGGGTAGTCTGCTGCCTTCCTGTGAATGTCATGTCACAGTGGACTCCAAGTTTTATTTCATTTCAATCCCCTAATATTACTTAATTCTCCTAGAGACAGGCT